TATCCAAGGAACCAACCCAACCATCTATTATAACCAATATTTCTGTAAACGTGAGATACAAACCTGGCATCTCTGTCATGTTCGATCAGCTGCAGTTTATAGTAGGAGTTTGTCCCTCGAGATATATCTACCAGGCCCAGGGTGGCGCTGAAGATCTGGCTGCTTTTCTCCAACACATGACCTGAATTTTCAAGCCCTAAAAGCAATCAGATTTATATATTATATCAAGTTAGTAGTTTTTATGGCACTAACTCAAGCAAAACATGTATAAAGCATACAGACCGCTTCTTGCGTGAGAACTGAACCCATGATTGCAAAGCTGAAGTGCAAACTACCTAATCCAACACACTGCCTGCAGGCAATACATCAGAACTCAAAATATAACTGGTAGAACTGAAAGAAAAAAAAAAACACCCACCCTCCAATACAGTGAGGAGCAGAGTATGGATTTAAACAGAATTACTTGAGCCCTTGATGAAGTCCAGACAAAAGTAACGTGTAGGGTGGAGTCCGGTGAAATCATTGTGCATGCCAGCAGGTGAAGTCAACCTGGTGGATGCTTGTACAGCGAGTTTGGCAGTGGCGTCCAGAACTTGCGCGTGCAATCACATACATGGCTTCCAGTGCATGGATTGTGGTGCACTTTTTATGCAAGTCATTTTTTCTATTTTAATAAGATATTTTTTTATGGAGTATACTATGATTCTTTTTTATATTCTATCCCCATATGATGTACCATTCTGAGCTCAACTATGTGGAGGTGTTATGTAGTGTACTAAACCTTTGATAGGAAAAAAAAATAGGATTTTGGTACTCACCGTAAAATCCTTTTCTCTCCGTTCATTGAAGGACACAGGGAACAGATCGGAGATCATGTACTGTAGGGTAATATCGCCACCTGCAGGAGAAGGACGCTAGGCACAAAAAACTAAAGACCAATTACAGCAGACCTTAACTAGTAGATTCCATTCCACAGGGTGAGTTTTACTTCATCTGAGGTTGACAGCTCACATGTGGATAACAGCTTTGTCTTGCTGCACACATGGATGAAAATTCAGTTTCACCAATTTAGATGAACCTCCTTCTCTTGATGAACACCGCCCCCCTCTCATAGTTGCCTTTCCTTTCCATCAACTCTTTCTTCCTCACCCAGTCCTGTTTTCTGGTACGCAACCACCAGTACCTCATCAGTTATTTTTATGGTTGCTCACCTATACAGGCCATGCAGAGTGATGTTGGATTACACCTTTGAAGGTGCTTGTTGCTGCCTATAATTTGCATGAGGCTATTTATAAAATTGTTTCATTTATATGGTATCAAAGGCACTTTTCTTGCTTTGCATTACCCATGTCCTATACAGATACTGAGCTACTGTGGTTGTTCATGCCTTGCCCATGCAACTGTTTATCTGAGTTTCTTGAAAATTAGAACAATTGAGGAAAAAACATACAGACTAACAAAAATCGTTGTTTATTTCAATCCAATTAAGTTCTTGAATGAACTACAGATGTGACATTATGGAGGTCACTGTGGACATATTCACCTTCTTAATGATCCCAAAGATGACTGGTGTGGTTTTCACACTTGCCTTGTATAGTCCTTTGTGTTTTAGCACTATAATTAAATATTACCCAAGAGGGCGAGTGTGACCTATGAGGTATAACAACTATGACTAACATGTGAGCGCACACGCCATAGGGAAACCGGGACCCTCTCAAGGTGTTAATATGGTACTGCTACCATATGGTAATTTAAAAAAACAAAACCCACAAACACTAAGCAAATTACAGCAAACATCCGCTTTACTCTTCAAATCAACTTCTGTGCCCTGTGAAGCCATCTTACATCCTGGGCTCAGTCTCTACACAGCCATACATTTCTAGCCAAGTTGAAACCAAGTTCTATCCCAGCACTCAGACCTGTCCCCTGTCTGCCAAAAGACAAATGGCATACCCACAGAAGCCTGGACAGGCTCTGCCATTTGAAATACTGGGTTGCAATCAAATACAAGGGGGCAATCATAACCCCTGAATTGGAGGTCTTGTACACAGCCTTGGGATAGGATCCAGGGGTGATCTTGATGTGAAAATGAAATCAAGTACCTGAAGACAGACGTCAGCAGTATTGCAAGCTTTTGTACCTTTTGGGTCAAGCTAGGTTTACTTTAATAGCAGAAATGTAAAAGGGAAAACCTCCAATCTGATGAAATCTAAGAACTAAACACAACTCTTTTATAAACCTGTTTTGGCATACTGTTGGGGATCATGGCTCTGAAGAGTTGAATCATTTTCTGTAGGTTACTCACCAGAGTCTGGATCAACAGCTGCTCCACCTTTAACAGTCAACTTCATTTTTTTCTCAGATTTGCTGCCCCCTGAATAAAATTTAAAAAAAAAAAAAAAAAACAACTTTACAAATATTTCACACTGTAAAGATATATTTACATCGGCTTGTGGGCAAATAGACTGACACAGAAGCTTCACGGTCCTGTGATCCAGATATCATTGCCTGCCAACACAGCCCAGAGATCTAGGACATTTCTGCAGACTACATTGCAGTAATTGCAAGCAATGCAGCCTGGTCCGTGGTCAAGCTTTGCGTGTAATTGGATGTATATCGGATGAAAATGAAAACATCATGAGGCATTCTTTCCTGTTATAACAACATGGTATGTATACAATACAGCATTTCAGATATACAATATATTTGGTTTGGTAAAAGATTAAAAAGGCATGTGCCTTTTATTTCAAGTGAAGCAAAAGTAAATCTCTGTTTACAGCACCCAGACAACACACTTACCCTGCTCCTCTTTCACTTTGCCAGTACTCTTCCCGGACTTTGTTTTAGCCTGGGGCTCCTGTTGTGCCTCCTGTTTTATTTCTGCACCCCAAGCAGAGATGCCATGCTGGGTAAGCAGGTCCTGTAAGCTCTTGCCAGACTGCAGCTCATTCAGGAAGTCCTCGCTGACCACTCGAATATTGGCCGCTTTTAGATCCTCCATTTTCTTACTCATCTTCTCCACCTCCTCTGTGAATGAGCAGAGTGCAAGTGTGGTCAATATCAAAAAAGTATTCTACTACTTGCAACTAAAATTGACTATATGAAAAAGGGCAATGTCATGCGACCAAAGCTGCTGCCCTGTGCAAACTTGCCAGCAGAAAGGAAAAGCTATGTCTTTCCAAGCTAGATACCTGTATTGTATGCAAGTATAATATAAAGCGAACAAAGAGAAATAATAGCCCAACAAGAAACACTAACTGGAGAGAGACCAAAAGGTTCCTGGAGAAACTAAGCAAAGCCGGGGAGACTCAGCCTAGCAGGGATTTCTATATAGCCAGGGCTTATGCCCTCAAAAAGGTAGCCAATTCAGTATTTTGTACACAATATAGACAAAAAAGTTTGTGGACACCTGACTATGGCACCTTTATGGACATGAATATGAAACTGTTTTCCAAACACAATTTGCCGAAGACAAGCAAAGCAAACAGACCAAAAAACACACGTGCCATGGAAGTACTTACTTTGAGTGCTGACGCATACTGTGGTTTTGCTGACGGACCCAGTCGTCTTTCCACCTAGTTCTTCAACCATCGCTTTAACTTCATCTTTGTTCTTCGACAGTTTGCCAATGGTCATAACGGTCATATTGGTCAGTGGCTTACCTAATGAGAATGTCATTTCACCATTAGAAAAACAAATGAGAAAAGACAGCTTGTATATGAACTACCCATCCTGTCCTCATTTACCAGATTTAAGTTGCCGTGGTCTCCAGTGATGCACAGAAAATGGAATCTATTATCTGACTGATTTCTTGCAACAAAGAAATTTGTTACATATCAGCCGCTACCACTTTATATTGAGCAACTGGGCAGATAGTCCAGAAAAAGGTGGTGAGTTTACATTTACACGTTACTACAGAATTGGGTGAATCAACTACCTGAAACAAAGTCTGTCATTTTATGAGAGCCTAATACAATGCTATACTATGAGTGGCAGTTGTACTGACTAAAGTAGACACGAAACCAAAGAAGTACCTATAATGATGTACAATGAGTAGCACTGGAAAAAACAGGCAGGAAATAAAACAAGTACCCCTGTGGCACACGACTGATAAACAAAACCTAGAGACTGCATTCAAAAAGTACACTGGACAATCAAATCTGCCCTGACCAAGAATCCTCTGCTGGTGCTACCCAAAACCTGGACTGTCCAATCATCAATAGGAAATTCAGTTCTCAGTAACATCCTATTATATGGGTGATGTTACATCTAATGGCATTGATCATTCTAAAACATTTAATTTCCAAACAGTGATATCACTGCCCTGCAGAAGGTTATATTCCTGCAAACAGACAATCAAATACAGGCATGCAAATGTGTCCAAATTTTAAAAAAAATGTTTTTCTTTTTTGAAACTAATATTGCCTCACCAGTCTTCTTCAATAAAGCATTCTTATACGCCAATTCTAAAAGTGCACCAATAGCCATCATGAATTTGTGCTGGCTGAGAAAAGTAAATTTGTATTGGTTGCTAGGGGTTACTGTACTTAAAAGTATATTTAAAGAAAAATCTTTTCTTTTCCCAATTTTGGGTAGGGTGTGGATTGGTAAAGACCCTTGCCAGGCTTTTGTTTGCCATCTGCATCCCACTGGGGAGCTTTCACTGCTCTTTCTGTCCTGTAGACACAACAGGGAAACCTCTGAAGACAGTTGTCAGCAGAATAAGGGTTCGGATTGAAAGTTTTGTCCCTTTGGTAGAGTGGGAGTCCAAAAAATGGGCAGAAACATCTAGGAGCTGGAAACGAGGGGAAGGGATCTTGCTATAAGAAGGCCCAAAGGGAAGCCTGTGCTTGGTTTACCATCAGGAACTGCTTCCTCTTTAATCACAGGCTTAGTGGCAACTGGAGCGGTAGCCGGTGCTGGAGCTACAGCTGGAGGGAACGCTCTGTCCTGCCTCTTAAACTTGAACTTTTTCAAATATGGAACTTCATGGAACTCCTGGATTAACACATGCATGAAAAACAAGAAAAAAAACATAGCAAAAATAAGATCTCTATAAGATAGCGTTATATACACATACATATTATTATACAGGATTTATATAGCGCCAACAGTTTGCACAGCGCTTTACAATATAAGACAACACATTTGGTCCAGGCACTGATGTCCCCTGTACAGTAATAAGCATCAGTCTTGAACACTAACTGTCCCTGACATTCCTCGCAAGGAAGGAGAGCCCCAAAAGCCATGCCGTCTGATACTCTGTCCAGGATCTGCAGCAACAGGGAAAAGAAAGTTGCGTTCAGAGGGATGTTTTAAAGAAAAAAACTCCATGGTTTTAGAAACTACACAGCATTCTCCATTAATTTAGAATGGCACCCCAATGCATACCTACAGCAGCCTGTGCAACACCTGTGCATGCAAGGTGGTGTGGAAATAAAAATGCAACTCTGCTTGCAATACTTACTTACTCTCTGGCACTCTTGTAGTCCTTTCTTTCTGCCAGGATGTCCTCTGTCTTCCAGGTGTAATGATGGCCAGCATCACTCAACCCAGAAAAGTGAGGACATCCTATGTGTGCAGAGCAACAATGACCCACACCAGAGGGATGTTGCTCCAATACGGCAGTTTTCACTCACACAGAATGAAGCAGAGAGCGGTGCAGATGCCATCATGTCAATGCTGCTCTCTGCTTCATTGAGGACTGCTCAGTGCTGGTGAAGGGTAAAAGCACCCTCCATGTCATGTGACCAACCTGTAGAACTCTAGAAAAGGCAAGTATAAAAATACAATTGAGAGTGGAAGAGCCTTGAACTGGTACAACACAACACAAAAAACTCAAAACACTGAACAGTAATGCAACAAACTGTAGTCCGAAATGGTCCTAAATGTCCAATAATGCTAAGTAAAAACATGAAATTTAAACAATCCTTGCGACAATTAATTTGTTTCAGTTCTAAAGGGCACTAACAAATGTTTTAAGCAGCTGTAGGAAATAAAAAAGTCCATGACAACCTGGGCTCAAAGGGAGTGGGTCTTCTAAAAATGAAGTTCAGCTTTAATTTACAATAGTGACCCATTAGACTTACATTGGTTTCTCCGGAAGGCACCTGCTGTTTGTTGGCTATAAGCAGCTCTTTCAGGTCGTTGGTGCTGCAAACTTTCTTCAGTTCATCTTTTATACTCCAGATGAGCTCTGTCTGTTCCTGTGTGAGGGCAAAAGGAAAGAAGGGTTCAACAGCCATAATTAAAACACATAAAAAGTAGCATAAAACAGCAAGCCACGTGACACTGTCCACAGTTCCTGCAAGTTTAGTGGGTTCAAGGAGAGGGGGGAGGATACGGACGATCATATATTTCAAACTGCTTTGCACCACTTGCTGTTACGGACACAAAGGATTACTACTGAGAAGTGGAAATGTTGCTCAATGCGAACACATTACAGATTCATTTTATTTAGCATGGTCTTAAGAGGAGAAATGTGACAATTTCCCATGTATTCTTTTTTTTTAATTAAAATGCTCTAAACTTAAAATCCAATTCCAAACACCATATATGTAAAGGATTTTTTTTACTCATTTGAGTACTTCAAAATGCTTAAAAAACTATTAGTATACTAGATAGTAAAGCTACTATTGTATTTCTGAGCCCTGCCAACAATGACACTGGTGTCAGTCTTCACCCCTTGTCTACGCTTAGCCATTCACAAAATACCCGGCTGAAGCTTTAGCATTTGCTGTGCTCTATGAATGGCCAAGGATAGATGGGTGGTAAAAATAAAGTAAAATTACAAAAGGATCATACTCCCTACTGAATGCCCAGGATAACCCCTCCTACCACCAGCATGCCTTAGTTTTGTAGCAATGCAGTACCAGGAGCATAATCATATACTAGGAGGAGTGGGACCTGTATCTTTCAATGGACTCCAAGAAAGGGATTTTATGGTGACTACAAAAATCCCATTTTCTTTCTCGTCCATTGAGGAACACAGGAAGGTCTTTCACATACATTTGGGAATGCAGACCAACTAAGGTGTTGGCAACACAGCAAATGCTAACAGACCCGAGGGGGAAAAAACCCAAAAACGAACCCAGAACTGAGGACTGTGTGCAGCAAAGGTCCTTATACGGTTGTAGGCATCAGATAAGGCCACAACGTCCACCTGGTAGAACTTAAAGAACGTGTGAATGGAGGATCAGGTGGCAGCATTGCAAATCTGAGAAACAGTTCACTCATACATATCTAAGAGTTCGCTTTGACAGGAAGGCGGGGAGACCTGACCCTCGAGACCATAAGATCGAATTAAGGTCTGTCTGAGCCACCTAGAGAAGGAGTGGAAGTAGAAGGAGGAGCATCCATACAGGAACCATCTGGCATGACAAAAAGTGAATCGGTCTTTCCAAAAGAAGCAATGGATGATAGACTCTCACTTCCTGAACCACATCCAGACAATGGAGGGAAATTTCCTTTTGGTGAACTGCAGTTGGGCAAAGGGATAGAAGCCCCTGGTTGATGTGAAAGGCAGAAACCACCTTAGACAAGTAGTACTGGGCCTCAACACTACCCTGTCCCTATGCCGAACGAGTAAAGGTTTCTTGCAGAGTAAGGCTACCAGTTTGGACTCTCACTTCAGAGGTGATGGCAACAATATCACCTTGTAGAGGAGTAGAGAGGAGTGTCTATAATGGGTTCAAACGACAAGAGAACCAGACTCAAAACGCACGGTGCCAAAAGGGAACAAAAAAAGGGGGAGCGACACAAAAGACTTCCTGTACAAAGGTCTTATTCAAGGAGTGAGATGCCAACGGTCTGTGAAACAAGAAAGAAAAGGCAGAAACCTAGTGGCAAGTCAACTTAGATACTCCTGAAACCCAGACAGTTGGTAGTAGGGTAGATGGTCGAAGGTGAACATAGTAACTGTAGGCAGACAGCAGAAACAAACATGGCTCTTTGCAAGCAGGAGCAGAGGCTTCCTCAATGTTGTATGGTGGAAAAGAGTGAGGAGTATGTGCAACACTACACCCAATGGATGACATCAGCACTCATTCTGACAGCATTAACCACTTCAAAAAGTGGAAACCATTGAAAAACTGACTAAGATGCCCAGTGACCGGCGTACTGGAGGAGCCCAACCGTCTTACTCACAAATAGAGTCTTCAAAGACAGGGCAAGCACTAAGGAAAAGCCAGAGATTCTGGAGCTGGAAATTGCTCTGTGGCTAACATAGAACAAAGTCTAGAAAGCACCCAACGTGGGCCAGTGCCTGAGGATTACTTCCAGACTATCACTACAATGTCCAGCCCAGTGGGGTCTGGGTGCAACACTGTAAAAGACAGCCCAAGTAGAAAACACAAAAAAAACAAGACATGTTGGTAGCAGGAAGGGTTATCCTGGGATGGCCTAGAGCTTTTTGTTTTCCTAGTGTCCAATTCACTTGTAGGCGGTAGTATAACCCCTCAAGGGTGAAGGATTTCCTGTGTCCCTCAATGGACAACTCAACAGACAAGAAACAAAACTACCCTTCCCCTATAGGAACAACCAATACAAGTTTGATTTAGACTTGACAATCTTACCTTCAGCAGCTTCTCAAGTTTGGATTCCTTTTCCTTCTCTTTTTTTAGTTTCTTTTTGGACGCAGCAGATCCATCAATCTCATCCGCTTTTCTCTTCCTTCAAAAAACAAAAATCAAAATGTTTTCTTTTACAAATTGAATACCAAACATTAAAATCTACATTTATACCCATTATATATACAGAATATGTATGCGAGATTCTTGGGAGAATCCTTTACCTGACAATGTTTTATTGGATATGTACAGTATATCAAAAATTCATGCTGAAAGGAGCTGAAACATAATTTTACCAAGTCCTCGAAGAGCAAAGAGTGGCAATATATGTATAGTGAAGGCTGAACAGTAGGGAACAGACCACAGATGGCTGAGACACCCTACACTAGAGCCTGACAAGTTCCATACTATGGTCAGTGCTTACCAAGATCTCCAATCTTCCCTAAGCTGCCTCTAAACTTCGGAGGGTGACTAGATGTACAAGAAAGATCTCCCTTGGCAAAGCACTCCGCAGCTACATGTATAATCTCGCTTGGCTGAGTGGGTACGTCTTTGTTCATGGATAGGGAGGGAGTTTTGTAACCCATCAACTTTGAGTCAAGTTGCCTTTTAATGAACTCCACACCCCCTAGAGCAGCTGCCTTATTACCTACTTCTGACAGCTTCACTCTGCAACCTTGCCTGGCACCATAGAGTCTTTAGGAGCAAAAGTGCGAGTACCTGAATTTGGTATTAGCCTATTGCAATCCCCTGTTCAACAAAGCTCAGAGGGAAAGAAAAGCAGCACTAGGAGCCAATCAGTTGTGCTTGCATGCTAATATAAGGAGTTCGCAGAGTGACAGACGTGAGCTCATTAGTCTGCTGCTTCTTTTCTAAGGCCTCGTTCACACCAGACAGTTTGTTACGGCCCGATTCTGGCCAGAAACCACTGCGGCCGGCTCACTATGTTGTGGGGCAGAAGCGAATGTGTGTGAAAGTGTCGAGGGGTGTGGCGATCCATTGAAGTGAATGGTATCGATGCCACGCCCCCGGGGCCCCAATGCGATCGGCTGCACGGGAACGCAAGGCACATTATGCCTGCAGTCTGGTCCAAACAGAATGCTGCAAGCACTATTTTGTTTGGACCGGACCGCAGGCATAATGTGCCTTGCGTTCCCGCGTAGCTACGGTGCCAGTCACTTCAATGGACCACCATGCCCCTTCCTGCCCAACAACATAGTGAGCCGGCCGCAATGCGATGGAGTGCGTTCTGGCCAGAATCGGGCCGGAACGCACTGTGTCTGGTGTAAACAAGGCCCTAATGTCCAGTCACAGGCTGGGCGTGGTATAAGACCCGTGAGCATCACTTCATTGCAGCAGTGAGCATCAGGCCTCTGGCTGTGCACTGTGTGGCCGAGCAATGTCAATCTAAAAAAATGGATGAACAGGAAATCCTTTGGCAGGAAAAAAACAACAACAGGTCAGATATATGCATTTCATTTGTGTACTTAGATGCTCGCCTGGAGTTTCAGCTTTAGTGCTAAAAAAAAAGAAAAAAGGTAGGTTTTACAAGCACAGGGCCCTAACGTGTGAAGTGTAAGATGGATCCCATCTGCACCATCTCCCTAATTAGAATATGTGTTTGACAAGCTGTGAGGCCTGTTATCTCTCAAAATGGATATTTTCTACCCTCCAGGGTAGAACATTACAAGGCATTAGTGCCTCAATGGCTAATTAATATAGTAATTAATCAAATCTGCTGTCAACACCTTATTGAAGTGATGATGTGAAGCAGCTGGCCTGCCGTAAAGCTGAAAAAAACAACAACACACATAAATAGAGAGGGGCAACACTGACCTGACTGGAGAGGAAGAGTCCACAACCTCCCAAACTGCACACAGCAGAACCTCCTAACCATACACAAGCCCGAAATATGCACCAGCAGCAAGTACGTCTCAAACCATGAAATGACCGTAAGTCTTGGGGATTGTATTTGAAGTCTCAGTATTTTGTCATTTTTTATAAGCTATAGAGATGAAACATTGTGTCTATAAATTGTCAAACTCCCAGAAACTTGACATTTTCTAAACTCCGAGCTGTGCCGTCATGTTTCACCTTCAGCACCTTAAAGCGGCTTACCAGAGAGATCTTTAAAGTGTTACTATAGGCAAAAGGATATATAATGCAATCTGTCCCTAGCATTGACATCAGCTTCTATCTCCCCGCCGAGTTCCCTGTAATAGTTTTATGACCGGTTGATCCTGCCAGTAGATCTTTTATTCTCCCACTTTCTTAAATAGGGTGCAAACGCTAACCATTCTTCAGGTGAAAGCAAACAGAAGTGTTGTCACCCGGTCAAACAGCGTAATCTTAAATGTACATGTAGATAAAACTAAAGCTGACTCGAGCAAACACATTTTAAGCAGTAACAGTTTTAGGTTTAAAGTGACACTAAACTCAGGAGTTTAATCTTACAAATACATTCAAGTACCTCAACTACTGACAACAATGGGGGGAATTTATCAAAACTGGAGAAGGCAAAAACTGGAGCAGCTGTGCATGGCAACCAATCAGCTTCTCTCTTCAGTTTGTTCATTCAAGATTTGAAAATGAAACTGAGACACTGATTGGTTGCCGTGGACAGCTGCTCCAGTTTTTGTCTGCTCCAGTTTTGATAAATCCCCCTCAACGTATCACCCGGCTGTATATCCTTCAAATCTCTGGGAGCTTATAACAGTCCATTTTCATTTATGTGGGTTAAGCCTGAAGCTGTTTCTGTTACTGCTTAAAATATGTCTGCTTGAGTCGGCTTTAGTTTTATCTACATGTACATTTAAAGTGACAGTAAACTCTGCCATTAAATCTTAAAAATACATTCAAATACCTTAACAAAAATTAATCTTATTTGTGTATCACTCGGCTGTTGATCCTCAAATCATCTCTGAATTGGTGCTGACACTGTCCTTCCTTCTGGAGTGTGGCTACCTCTGGTACCCATGGTCCCTGTGTGTTGTAAAGTAGTCACCGCTCCAAGCTCGCTCCTGTGATGGACTACAATCTCAATACAAATTAGTAAACTAAACATGAGATTGTAGTCCATCACGGGAGCGAGCTTGGAGCAGTGACTACCATACAACACACACAGGGACCATGGGGAACAAAAGTGCCGCACAGATACCCTGTTTCCCCGAAAATAAGACCTACCCCGAAAATAAGACCTAGTGTGTTTTTTTGAGCCCAAAAAAATATAAGACAGTGTCTTATTTTCGGGGAAACACGGTATAACCCCATTGATAATGAATGGGTCAGTGTGGCAAGCGGTGTGTGCAAGCGCACACGAACACGCAGTCCCGGGATCACCCAAATGTGCACCTAACCTGACAAGTGAAAACAACTCGGATAAAATTGGAGCTGTAGAGGTTTTCTTTGCAAAAGTACGCTGGTTGCTAGGGTCCGAGTAAGACAAATATTAGGAATTTTGTACTTTGGAGTTCATTAACGGACACGTGATTCAGTTATTCATAGACAAGGGTTATAATACCGCCTACAGGAGGGTTTGGACAGTACCAAACAAAACAGTGGCCAGCCAGTATAACCCCTTCCGTTCCCATAATGCTTCAGCTTCATACCATAGCAGTACTGGGAGTAGATCACAAAACACAGAGGGGTAGGATGCATGTCCCTTGCAAGAAATGGATATTACGGAGAGTACAACAACAAAAGTCTTTCTCGTTCATTAAGAGACACGGGAATCAGTTATTTGGCGACAACTGGATTGTCTAAAAGCAGTCTAACGGAAGGGTGAGCACCAGGAACAAAGCACTGGCAGGCCCACAAAACAATAGAACTAAGAGCTGCAGATCAAAGAGCTGTCTGAAGGACTTTATGCCCAAAGCAGACATCAGATGATGCCTGAACATCCACATAGTTATAATTCGAGACTTTGTGAACAGAAGAAGACCAAGTGGCAGCCTTGCAAATCTAGAAAACAGTTGCTATATGCTGTAAAGTCTAAGAAGCACTCACAGTTTAGACAGGAGAGGGTGAGACCTTGTCCTTAAGACTATTAGCTTGTATGAGGATATCCCTGAGCCCCAAAGAAATGGTGGAGTGAGGAGCTAGTACCCCAACAGAGACCATTGGGAATGGTAAAGAGAGAGTCAGTCTTCCTAATGGAAGCAGTGGCTGACCTGCACAGCTAGGCGGTGATTAAACATTTCCTTCTGGTGTACTAGAGCTGGACAGAGATGGAAGAACAATGACCTGGTTGGGGTGAAAGGACTAAACTACCTTAGGAAGGAAGGAGACTCTAAACCTCAGCACAACCTTATCTTTGTGTTAGACAAGAAAGGGTTCTTCACAGGGCAAGGCGTCTCGCAGAAGTAATGGCAACAAGGAACACAACCTTATGAGTGAAAATGGAAAGGGGACCCCTAAAAAGGTTCAAAAGGCAGCGCTGACACAACCAAATTCTAAGAGGCCAGAGAATCTCCCTGTCAGAGAGAGAGGCGAAGAATTTCATGCAAACCTTTGGACTTCAACAAAGACATATAAATCCTTCCAGGATCAGGTTGGGGCAGACAGTTTTAGAAAAAAAGTGGAATAAAAGCGCTGGACCCACAAGGTTTTTCCTTTTGGTGTGGCTGGCCAATTAGGATATCAAATTGTTAGTATAGTTGATCAGACTACCACAGGCAGCTTCTACATTCCAGAGGATCTATACTGTATCCTTGGTGTGTGGTGTCATACTGCAGGATTGTGAATTGAAGTGCCACACTCCGTGTAATAGCCCAATCTTTATTCAATCTAGCGGTGAGGTATAGCAATAGTCCTCAAATTTCAGGGAATAATAATACAGACATTCCCTTCATCAGGGCTTACTAAGGGAGAACATTTATAAGGACTGCAATGGCCTGAAACTGGATCTTGTTCTGTCCAGTGTGTGAGAATGTGTAAAGCTCTTCAGCTGCTGATTTGGATACCAGACTCTGGTCATGATCAGCCCAGCTTAAAAGGCAAGCAGATACTTATTCTTCAATCAAGACTCCAATCTTGAAAAAGGAGAAAACATCCTCCTGTCGTTGCAATAGTAGTATAACCCAATTGTATCTAAATACCTTAAACCGGTGCCCCTTAATGAACAAGAAAGAAAAGACATTTTATACATGTATGTATCGCCTTCCTTAACTTTTTTTCTCTTTTTAAAGTTTTATTCATGCAGCTGATCCTAGTATGTAAAGAAAAAATGAATACCAGTGTGCAGTCCTCTACCGAGATAAAATTATCCATGGACGCACCCTACACGGCAGGGGAGATTACAATTGCCGTCACGGCTGCTTTAGGAAATATTCTGGTGTGTTACGCAGTAGCTCAAGATCGGAGGCTGTGGACGGTGACAAACTACTTCCTGGTATCCCTGTCTGTGGCCGACGTGTGTGTTGGAGCCTTTGCCATCCCCTGTGCGATTCTCACCAGCATAGGCATCCCGCATCATAATCTGGAACTATGTCTACTGATGCTCTCAGTCCTCATCATGCTTACTATGAGCTCTACCTTTAGCCTACTGGCCATTTCTGTGGACAGGTACATCGCCATTCTGAACCCTCTACGATATAAAAGCATCATGACATCCACAAACACCATCATTCTGATCATCACAGGCTGGATTGTGGCGTTTCTCAGTGGGCTGATGCCACTTATGGGTTGGCACAAACCACCACCGCCCCATGGTTACTGTATCTTCACCCACGTCGTTGACATGACGTACCTGGTGTACTTTTTTTCCTTTGTCTACTTCTATCTGCCTGTCGTCATCATGTCAGTCATCTACACCAAGATCTACGCTGCAGTGAAAAAGCAGCTACATGGAACAGTGGCAGGATTCCACCAAGGCATGGTGGGCAAGCACGGGGCAGGGATGAAGGAGCTAAAAACGGCTACTTCCCTCTTCACAATCATTTTCTTTTTCATGTTATGCTGGGCTCCGCTGCACATCATGAATGGGGTGAGTCTGCTCTGCCCAGACTGTTACATTCCTCCAGTGATCCTTGAGATCGGCATCATACTCACTCATGCCAACTCTGCCCTCAACCCCATTATGTATGTCTACAAGCTGAAAGCTTTCAGAAAAACATTCAAGAACATCTTCCTGCGTGGGGTCGGATCGGTAGCCCCAGCCAAATGGACAGATCAAACCTCTGTATCTCATCTACATTAGTTTGCAAACAAGACCAGAACATTTTATAGCGAGACACCTTAGCACCATCAAGAAAACAGATATCTGTTCCTTTCCTCTATCATATTGAAGCAGTTAGGTTCTCCAATGTTTCTGTTGGATATTAAATCTGACCGTCAAGCATGCAAAAAGCTAAACTCCAAGCAAACAGCTATACACGGAGATGAATTACATCAAAAGGCTGTTTTACCCATTGAAGGATTTTTATTTCTGAGATTTACACAAAGCACAGCACTCTATGGCAGGGCAGGAGACTTTTTATTTCTGCTGCATTTCAGTAAAACAAGTCTTGTTCATCCCCCAGCCTGTGACTAGGCAGTGAAAAGTGAAGCAGCAGACCGACAAGCTCATCTGTCACTTTGCTCTCTTCCCCTATCAAAATGAACAATGCAGCCTAACTGATTGACTCCCTGTGCTGCTTCGCCCACTCCCACTCTGCTCAACAAGGACTGCAAGTGGCCGATAGCAGGTCAATGTCCAGTAAAAATAAATAAAAATATAATGATATGTTGAAGAATACAGAGCTGCATTACTCTGCATATTATTTCAGCCACTTTAGTTTTGAAAAAAACTATTTCATGAGTGTACTGTTCGTATAGGTGACCATGTTTTTTTTAATTGTTTTAAATAAATATGGTAAAATACTTTTTTGACCTTGTTAATTCCGGTTCATCTCATTGCCTCCTCCCCCCCTCTCTGTTTCCGGGTTTGTACACCTATGGCTAGGATGCATAAGCACAGAGAGAGCTGGAGACAGGCTTTCACATGACACAGCCAGAGTCGCTGTCCCTTGTGTGGGCCTCTAACACGATGTAGGTTGAACATGCTTAGGCGGCAATGGCTTTGCATAGAGACAAACTGAGTGAGCGTTGTCACCCTATAACAGGAAGTACATAGGAAGGCTACTACGGGAAGAATCACCAGGTGCGATTACAGGCACTTAAATCCTCAAGATAAAAAGAAAAGACTAAGCGTTAAAAATGGAGGTTAATCATTGTGTGAAAATGTGGGGTTTACATGCCCTTTAACATTTATATCCCTAGTCAAAACAGGGACATGGAAAATCTTATTTAGTACAGACATACCCCTCATTCTTCACTGCTGGGAGCTTGGCTTTCAGAGCCTCCTTGTCTTCAGCTTTCAGAATGCTAAAGCCCTTCATCTGGCTGGCACTGTACATTGATAGGAAGCCAAGCTCTTCCCGGCGGCTTACAAAGCAGTCTGGGTGGTACCAGCGATCGATCATGCCAAGCTGAGGTCGCTCCACATCCAAGCTTTTCTTAGACAATCTTATCTGACCCTGCGCGGAGGACACACACAATGAAATGTAAAACTCTACAATGACACATTTTTACTATACGCTATAAAAGCGATTGTGAAAACATTCTTATCAATGTGTGAAAGTGCAGTAAGAAAATAAAAACATGCTTACCTGTAGCCTAATTATATATGTACACTGTATATGTACTTAAAGTGGAACAAAAGTCCAAAAATAAAAAATTGCTAGGAGGCAGAGTATTTTGGCAGAAGAGACAAGTGAACTGCCAAAAAACTTTGTTTCAAGCAATGTTTTCTTCAGAGCCACTGCCTAGGGTTTATTCACAGTGCAGTATACACCCTGATATCCTGGAAGACCAACAGATGTCAAGGGTGATGAGGGAGGTTGTGGACATTGCACAGGTGGACCAGGGCACACTAGTGGGCACGTGTGCCGTATTGTGTACGTATCCAGTGCATACTTACGCATTATGATACGAGCCCACCGATAATGCAAGTAGTAAAGTTCACCGTTAAGGTATATACACACATAGAAGCCTAGGCAGGAGTCCAAAAGTGTATACAAAACAGTGCAGGCACACCTTTGGTTTAATTCATCAAGCAAAAATGCATGTTCTGTATGCCATCACGATTGGCATTTTCAGCCCTGTGACTTCACCTTTTACTAGTTGCCAGTGCTAAAAAAAACAGTTATGGCATAGAATCGTTATAGCTTCTGAAATTGGCCATCCCTATGTCTGTGGCCATCCGAAGCGTCACTCAAACTAAGGGCCATGTCACACTGGCAATAACTTGCCAGCAGAGCACAGAATTGCTAAAACAGCTCACCTCTTCCTATGGTGTTGTTTGTTGTCTTGCTGCTCTCAAAGTGGAGAGATGTGGGTCCTCCACTGCCAGTCAAGATTATGCAGCGTTTCAGATCCAGGGGGCAAGATAGAACATAAAAGCTGCATTTCTGCAATTCTGACAATGACAAGGTGGTACCAGTGTGGTGTGGGTCTCAGAACAATTAGGACTCGGTTGGCCAAAGACCTGGTGGGCCAAGAACAGCTGGGCACATAGATATGCACAGTATACTTGTGTCATCTACATATCAAGTACAAAAGACCCTCTGTAATCAGCAAAGATATTTAACCAAGCCTGTTTCTAGCATTATAAACAGGTAGCGGACATTTGAATTTCAGAAGTGAGGCCAAATGACACTAGAAGTCCATCTGTAAAATTCTTCATCTTTTTAAATTTTTGGTCATCATTTCTCAATTCCCACTTGATATGCGAGTGATATACATGTGACATATTTGATTATATTTTACCTTCTCAATTTTCTGCTCACAGCCTTTGCATGTGCTTCTGTTGGACTTTGCATATTCAGCTGCGAAATCATTCAGTGTCATGTCTGCTTTGCCTCCTTTGGCGTCCCCTCCTCCAGCCCCTGTAGATAAAAACAAAAAATTACCAATATCAGACTGACTTCTCAGCAACCTAGGCAATTTTCTGTAATGCCAAAAAACATATTATATTTATAGAATATATACCATATCGGCCGAAAATTGCACTTTTGGCTAAATGCCGAAAGTGCAATTTTTCTGCCCATACACTGCACTGTGTCCCAGCGGGGAAGAGAGAAAGTGTGACAGCCGGCATAGCGCTGCGGGAGGAGAGCACTGTGAGCGGCCGGCTTCTCTCCTCCCACACCGCTCAGCCTCCTATCACAGTGAGGCAGAGCGGTGTGTGGGCCGAGACAGCCCGCGCTGTTACTGGAGGCTGAGCTCTCCTCCCTGCACCGCTTATTCAGCCTCCTGTTACAGCTGTCAGGATGGAGAGCACTACAAGCAGTCGGTGATCAGTGATCGCTGATTGTTTGTACATAATTGAGGACATAGCATGTTTACTATATCCTCAATTATGAATGAATGGGAAGTGATCTTCATCACTTCCTGTTCATTCATAGTTCCTGTTCATTCATAGTTGTAGTTATAGTAAACACACAATGTTCTCATGTGATCAATGACCTGGAACACTCAGTATAGAGGATTCCTTATCATTGATAACAGGGGATGCAGAAAAAAAGAGATTGAGGACTCTGTGTTCTCAATCTCTTTTTCCATTTTAAAAAGGGAAATATCAGGATGATCAAGTAAAAAATGTTTGATCGTTACTCACCGCTCCGCCTGTTTCCGTGACATCACTGGACGCCTCCCCCCCTTCCCCGAGTGGCTCCGTAGGCTAACGAAGGGAAGGGGGGAGGAGTCCGGTGATGTCCTTCTATAGTGCAGTGCATGCTGTGCTGGTTCTCCTGCCGTCACGGATCTCTCCACCATTGAAGACGCCGCTCTCAGTCTCCAGCTCAACCTCTCCTGCATCGTGGGTTTCCGTCTCACTCTGCTGACATCCAGAAACCGCAAGTCCCGTTACAAACGTTATAACTAGAGGTGGATTGGGATTGCTTAGGGAACAGCACCACCTAGTAGTGACTTCTGAACTGTGAGGTTACTACCTAGTGTTACTACCAAGTTTAACCAACTACATTGGCCTATACACATACAGCACAGCAATGAAGTAATAAAATGAACTAGGATCACACTAATCCAGCACGTTATTATTCTGAGTTGCCCCACTCAAGCGGCGGCATTATTGAGTGGGGCACGTGAGATTATTAACGTGCTGGATTAGTGTGATCCTAGTTCATTTTATTACTTCATTGCTGTGCTGTATGTGTATAGGCCTATGTAGTTGGATCTGTATGTGCGTTATAATTAATCGATTTAAAAAAAATTTGATTAATCGAACACGAAAATTTAAATCATTACCAGCCCTAATATATATAAAAATATAAAAAAACTCTAAACAACTAGATATTTTAGATATACAGTCTGTGCAGAGATGAGAGCTGTGAGACGGACACAACTGGTCTACCCACTACAGGCTGCCTGCAGGAAACACATTTAAAATGCACATGTACCCAACAGGCATGGGGGCTCCTTTGAGATCTTCTATGCATGGCCTGCTTGGTGCCATGTAGCTAGACAGACACTAGATATAACAGTTAAAACTAACAGTGTTATTCACAAAAGGGCGAAGAGTTTGGAGAAGGCAGGAGAAGTGAATCTAGGCCAAAATAGAAGATTTGGAAACATTCTCTAATTCAGCTATTTGGCCTAGATTGTTCCCCCTTTTGTGAATAACCCTGAAAAACCAACTAAGTCAATGAACAGGAACCATATAAACGCTGGCACAGGAGGCAAATCGGGCATCCATAAGGCAGAACCTGATGGCCTGCACAGAAAAAAACTTCATAGCGACAGTAGGAGTAAATAACTGGGGAACACAGCAGACATTAGAAGGGGTACTCTGAAAGTGAATCTTTGTTCCACCAGGAATGGTGACGGAAATCAGCCGTATAAACCCCTGTAGGTACCCGCAACGGAAGTAAAGGGTTGCTCAAGGTGAGAATGTACAGAAGATATTGTGAAAACCAGCACAAAGTAAGGGATGCTGTAGCCTGCAGCATCCAACTGACGGCCTAGGGCACCAAGCAGCAACGGAGGCTTCATCTTCCTATCCAAGGAGCGATGCCTTTAACTTTGTGTCTATCCTACAAAGGGCAGAGCCAATACCACAGAGGCATGCTGGGGCCTCAACGACGAAAGAAAACAAGTTTGTGTCAAGCCATGCACTTACCTGCTGAGGCACCACCAGTTTCGATGGCCTTCTTAATCTTTTCCTGATCCTCCCATCGAAGCTCTGTGAAGCCATCAATATCCCCGTGGGATATGACCCGAGCACGCTTCCAGAAACAGGAATAATGGTGCCAGTGTGGTACTTTCCCATCAAACATAGGCGACTGAAAGAAAATTAGATCAGATGTCATTTAAAATAAACAAGTAGCTCTCAATAACGGCAAGATGTTAAAATTCAAAACCAGTTTTTACACTTCACATCAGGCAGAATACTGGCCATGACCAAGTGGAAGTAATCAAAGCTCAGAGTTAAACTCCACAGGGACAAATGCCATCAAAACCTCGGGTACTGAAAGTTAAACCTGCTCAAGCACAGATATTTTTTTTTTTATTGGACCTGAACTCAAAGAGAAGATATGCTTTCTTAGAGGCAACATCTGATAATGTTAAAAGGAGAACTATGAGGTGAGTGCTTTTCACTCACCTCATAGTTCTAGCTGACCTGTGACAATGAGACTGTCACAGGTCGGCTCAGTAGATCGGGAGGTGAGCGAACACATACCGGCGTTCGCTCACCTCTCGATCCCGTCACGGCTCTCTGCCGTGACAGGGGAGGGGCTGGATTCCCCCCTCCCCGCCAGCGCTGACTGGCGGAACGAACGGGGGAGGGTACAGCTGGCTCTGCCTCTAGATAGGCAGAGCCAGCTGTCAGTCACGCAGCTGGGCGGATCCCGGCACAATTGTCGGGATCCGCTTCAGCTGCGGCGTCTCAGTATACCGCGAGCAGTAGCTCGCAGTATACTGAGCCTAGGGTGACGGGAGGACGCTAGTTTGTGTCCTCCCGTTACCCTAAGGAGAACTATGGGGAAAAGCCTTAACCCCATAGTTCTCCTTTAATTGGGCCTAAGCAGTACTACCGTCCAATGTACCTTTGGCCTTGATTTCCCCACTCCTCTGCCTATGGTCTCATAGCTGTATATATGCAATGTGAGAGCCTCCAAGTCACCGATTCCTCTGACTTCTACTATTGATGTCACTTCTGTGCTGCTCACTTCTCCTTGCTGGAGAGGAAGCTGTACCTGAGGACTTGCAGTGCAAGGATCTCCCTGCTTTGCTTTATGCGTCCAGAGGATCTAGGCTTTCTGAAACTCTTCTGCCTGTGCCTTTTTATCTATCCATCATCAGATCACTTATCAGGGAGGCGGCTCTAAAATGAAGAAGTAAAGTTCTGCCCTTTTTTCAAGATGACCGCCTCCACACAGAGACACAGTGCAGAAGACGGCATGCATGGTAAGTCAGTTAAAGGGAAAAGATCAGCTGCCCGGAGCATACAAGCAACACTGCTGACTAGACCTTTGTCCTCTGCTTGCCTTTTTTGTGCACAGCTTTCACCGTTCAGGTCCACTTTAATGCAAAATAGCAACAATGGAAGGAAAGATGCATCTGTGTTGCTGAATGATTTCCAGTGTGACGACAGCTTGAGGTTTTTCTGCAAACTGTTTATGGTTTGGGAATAATGCGGCTTTGTTAGGTTTCCAAATATGAATGCGATCCTTCAAAGCCGTAGCTGGGAATAAATAGCAAAGCAAACGTTTATACAGTGGTAGGGATTAAAAAATGTCGGAGAGAGAAATGCTGTTATCAAGGCACATTGTGTAAAGTTACTTTAACTGCTTCAGGACTGCCTAACGTAAATAAACGTCAGTATCCTGAAGAAGTTATCAAGAGATCACGACTTCTGCAGCATCTTGGTACCGTTTTAAACAGCCAGCGATGGCTGTTCACATACAAGTGATCTGGTGGCTATACAGCCGCCGGATCGCTTGTATGGTGCCAGGAAGCGTGCCCGTCCCCCCTCCTCCGCGGGCTCTGCGGTCACCCTCACGGGCCCAGGACCGGCAAGGCTTGTCTGCTCTCTTCGATCAGTGGGAGATCACCACACTCCTAGCTACTGATCTCCCCTCCAATCACTGAACCCAGAAGCGATGTGAATTACATCACTTCAGGTTTCAAGCTGTCATTTCTCCGGCTGCTGAAGCTGTAAAAACAGATTGCTGGTTCATCAGCTTCTCTGGGGTCTAATAGACCCCCTGATGTCTCCATAAAGAGGACCTGTCATATCCTCTTTGCTATTACATAGGGGACTTAGCCCCCATGTGATAACTTTATTACCAAGTGTATCAAAAAAACAAACAAAAAAAAAGAAGTCCATACATATGCAAACATGCACCAATATCTGAAAGTGACTATTACCGCACACGTTACATATCGCCGCAAATGTTGGCATGAAAGCAATAATTCTAGGACCATCAATCACAGTTAACCCTAAACCGATGAGCAGAAAAAGCTTTTAAAGCGTTGTGTCAAATTTGGGGTATTGTAGTTTTTTTTCGATTTCATGGGTGCACGCAATTTTAAGGCTTGACGTGTTTGGTATGTATTTACCCGACGTGATGCCGTCTTTTATATTTTACCAAACAAAATGGGTGTTATATTCTGCTTCTGTGCACTAAATTTAATTTTAGTGAAAAATACTTGTTTGATAAACATTAGCACAAATACCGTGAGACATAAAAAATTGCAACTAGCATTTTTTATTTCCCTCGACCTCTGCTTTCAGAAAATATATTATTATTATTACATAGTATTTATATAGCGCCAACAGTTTGCGCAGCGGTTTACAATATAAGGAAGACATTACAGTTACAATACAATTCAAGACAAGATCATTGTTTGGGGATTTTAAGCCGTTTTCTACCCAAAAATTCAGATTTTCATCAATTGTAAGCAAGATATAAGAAATTGCTCCGGACAGCAAATATTTATGTGGACCTGTCAGAGGAGCCAACCTGCTTTTATGGCAGATACAGATGGAAGGGGCTCGTCAACAAACAAAAACAGAGCTTAGCAGCCACTTTATAGCACACTCTTCCTGAAAGCATTGGGCTGCCGCTGCCGAGTTCCAATTGAAAATTTTAGTTGCCTGGCTATTTCTCCGACTTTAATACTTTCTAAGAAACTGACCCAGTACAAGTATGCAAATTAAAGTCTAAACTCCCTATCTACATACTTATTCTGGGTCTTGAAGTATTGAACTCAGAGGTTTAAAACAACAGTCAGGCAAATAGAATTTGCACAACAGGTAGTCTGCATTGGCAGCATTCATTATCCTCTCAGGAGGGTTCTCTATAAAAAAAACATTTGAAGGTTTGTCCTGGTCTGCATGCCTCTCTGAAACTACATTTTACCTTACTAATGGCCTCCACTTCCAATACCACTGCCCAGTCAGAGAACCTCAATGGTAAGTATAGGCAAACAGGGGTTAACAAACGGTGGGGCTGCAAGGAAGTCAGGTCCCTATTAAAGTGAAATGGTATTCAGAGGTACACAGGGAAATTCTCCAGCTAGGCAATAGCAGGTATCACGGTGCGTCTTCTTTTAGGGAGGAATTTTACTTTTTAAAATGTCTGATTGGTTAATTTAAAACAACCAATGCTCCCTACAGATATAAGATATTGGTGTGAAGAAATGGACGATTTCAAGTTAAAACACAATGGGGGGAATTTATCAAAACTGGAGCAAACAGAATCTGGAGCAGTTGAACATGGCAACCAATCAGCATCTCTCCAGTTTGCTCCGGTATGACTTGAAAATGAGAAAGAGAAGCTGATTGGCTGTAGTGCAAATCTGCTCCAGTTTTGATAAATTCCCAATTTTTGTTTGTGGAAAAGAAATTCTAGACAAGCGTTGCCGGGTTCATTTCTTACTGCACATTTCCTGCTTCATCCATTCCTATGGGTGATCGGTACACATGGTGGTCTCCACCTATCCAGTGTAGTATGGCTCAGCCTAAGAATAAGTAGCCGTTGCATGCATACGCAGAAGGAAGATGACCTGGTCGGGATGTTTTTTTTGCAAAGGCTGTACAGTGCAGAGGTGGGAGGCACAGTGAAGATCACTGGAATGGGAAGGAAATCACTGCTGCAACTGATTGCTATTCTCCCCATATCTGGAGTGAGATTTGGTGATATCACTACTGTGCTGCTCATCATTCTCCTTGCTGGAGAGGAAGCTTTAGCGCAAGGATATCCCCGCTGTGCTTTTTACATCCGGAGGATTTAGGCTTTCTGAAACTCTTTTTATTCATCAGATCACTTATCAGGAAGGCAGCTCTAAAATGAAGAAGCTCTGCCCCTTTACATAAATGGCCTCCTCCATAGAGAAACAGTGCAGAAGGTGGCATGGTAAGTCAGTTAAAGGAGAACTATGGGGTCAGTGCTTTTCCCCATAGTTCTCCGAAGGGTAACGGGAGGACACAAAGTAGCGTCCTCCCGTCACCCAAAGCTTACTATACCGCGAGCAGCAGCTTGCGTTATACTGAGATGCCGCAGCTGAAACGGATCCCGACAATTATGTCTGGATCCAAGGGAAAAGGATCATCTGCCCGGAGCATAAGGATATCCCCAATTTACTTCATGTGTCCAGAGAATTTAGGCTTTCTGAGCCTCTCCTGCCTATGCTTTTTTTTATCCATCAGTCATCAGATCACTTGTCAATTATGGGTATGCCGCTGGGGAAGTCAGAAATGGAGAAGGATTTGGGGGTCATTGTAGACCACAAACTGAAAGGTAGTTTGCAGTGCCAGGCTGCTGTAAACAAAGCTAGCAGGGTCTTGTCCTGTATTAAAAAGGGGATGTATTGCAGGGACAAGTCTATAATTTTGCCACTTTATAGATCATTGGTTCGACCTCATCTGGAGTACGCGGTCCAGTTCTGGTCACCAGTACTAAGAAAAGATGTCCTTGAGTTGGAAAAAGTCCAGCGGAGGGCAACCAAACTAATTAGGGGTATGGAGGACCAGAGCTACGAGACGAGGCTACTAAATTTAAACATGTTCACATTAGAGGTGAGGAGATTAAGGGGGGATATGATTTCCATGTACAAAATGTTTAATGGTGGTAGCAACATTAGCGATAAACTGTTTAAAATTAACTCCGTTACAAAAACTAGAGGCCATCACCTAAAATTGGTGGAAAAAAAATTCCAGCACAAGGGGCGAAGGGGGTTCTTCACAGTAAGATCAGTTAGGGTCTGGAACTCACTGCCACAGGCGGTGATTTCAGCAAATAATGTGGAATTGTTCAAGAAACTTTTGGACGATTTC